CCCCCCTCCCCCTAAGCGCGTGACGTAATATGTGGACGACCCCTTACCCGAAATACCCTTTTACAGGCCTCCTTATTATCCGTGCTGTTCTTCTTCCCCATTTCTCTGGAAAAGCTCATGGAGAGGGTGCTGTGCCGCCCGGGACCCCGCCCCGGCGCGTTGCCCACGGCCGTGTGGCGGGCCTATGGGCACGATCGCCACAAATTTGGTACCGACAGACACGGCAAAGTGCAGGCTAACTGACTCTCTTGTTCAAATCGGGTGTTCCAGGATATCTAAAACGGAAATGAAAAAGAACAAACTCACTGATTTATCTGCTTCCGCCTGTTCAATAGAGAAATTCCTTGTAGGCAATACGATACGCCATACTGGCAACGCTGAGGAGAAAAATGCGGGAACAATGACAATGACCCTGCTGCAGCGTAGTTCTGATATCGCACAGTAACACCGCGCCCTCGAGGCCAGCTGCCACCACCAGCACCGCGACCCTCCGCCGCTAGCCGAGAGGAGATCCTCGGCCAGTTAGATACACCACCTATTGTGATCCACCCACCATCGGCCCCTAGGGCCTCCGTTGCAAGTCGCGGAGAGATCCCTGACCAACTTCACCAGCAGCCCGCGCCGGCCCCGCGACCGGCTATGGCCAGGCCCAAAGTCCCCCGTCGTGCTGACTGCTGCTGTTGATGTTGTTGTCAACAACAGTTGCTGTTGCTGTCGTGTTATAGCCCTAGAGAGGCCGATTGACAGGCAGACCCAAACTGCAAGGGTCAGCGCATTCCCTGCGCTCGGCGCGGCTGGACGCCTTGGCTCGGCCGAGCGGACAGTCGCGACGCAGCCTCCAGCCAGGGCACATCAGGATTAGTATAACTTACTGTTTGGTAATGTAATGAATCAAACTGATCCCACCGGTTAGGTAACCTTTAGCTATGTACAGCAGATCAGACTGAGGGGTAGGGCAAAGGGTATTTGGCATGAACCCAATAAAAAGAACTAAAGTAGTAACTAACTATGGTGTAGCTAGTAACTCACCCTAAGATCCCAGAACCCCCAAAGAACCTAACAAATCATTACAAAAACAGTCGGAGCGCACCCACGCTCAGCGTCGTGCTGACTGCTGCTGCTGCTGTCAACAACAGTTGCTGTTGCTGTCGAAGCGCACCCACGCTCAGCGTCGTGCTGACTGCTGCTGCTGTTGTAAATAACAGTTGCTGTTGCTGTCGGAGCGCACCCACGCCCAGCGTCGTGCTGACTGCTGCTGCTGTTGTTGTCGGCGCGCACCGACCCGCTCAACATCGTTCCGGAGCTCCTCCTGTTCGCCTCTAGGTCAGGACGCTGAATAGTAAGGCGTCCTCAATAGAAGGGAAAATCATTCGGAGACGGCCGGTTAGAACGGAAAATTTATTCGAAAACGGGCAGCTCACAGCCACTTATCGGAACGTTCAACGCAATATTTATAGTTAAATAGAAGGGAAAATTCATTGGAGGACGGGCAGCCACAATCTTCCTACATTCTGTTAGTACCACTGTTAACCCGCGCCTGCGCCCCTCTGAACTGCCCATTGTTGTTGGCAACCGAGCCCGCCGTCCGCCCGAGTGCCCCACCGGTACCGGTACGTAGCCTCGCACGTGACAGGACTCGGCCCCCTTTCTGGGTAGGACCACGCCAAGCAGAAGGCATTTTTGGAGAAGTGTGAAAACTGTGATCTAAGCAACGGTAGAAAAAGAAAGCCTGATATTATGAATCAGGCGTAGTCTTTGATGCAGGAGCAATGATTAAAAAACCCCAGCCGGAGCG